GAAGCTGCGAATTAATCTTGATCTGCAGAGTTCAAAATAATCTCGATGGCTTAAAAATCTAGACAAATTTTCTGCATATTTGATTTAGATGATTTAATTCTCTGAGCTATTGTGGTCATTGATTTCATGCGATAAAGGGTTTTCTGATCTTTGAAAATATTAATGATTTCTGCTAAATTTTCCTGCGAGTTTTTCTGCTTAACTTTGTCACTATAAAGGTTTTTAGGCATTTCTTTATTAGTTTGGCCTGAAGCTTGAATGAATTCGGGTAAGTCATCTTTAGTGGGAATTTTTTGTGGTTTTTCTAACTTCTCTAAATAATTGAATCTTTTTCTGTATACCTTAGAACCACGATAAGAAGAAACGTGATTTTCGTGACAGTAAATGCAAGTTTGTTTTCATCTGGTTTTAATTTACAGGTATTGAATCTGCGATTTTGTCCGCACTTACAGCACCTGACCTTTTTAAAGCAGTTATTTTGGGAGTGCCCGAGCTCCTGGCAATTGAAACATTGAATTGGGCGATTTCTGGGCTGATATTTTTTTATTGTGATATTGAACCCGAATATGTTGTTTAATTGATGAATTTTCTGTCCTGCAGAATTTCCTTTTAGTTCAAGGAAAAATATTGGTAAACGGATAATCTGGTCTTCTGCTTTCTTCGTGAATTGCTTTACTTTAATTATACGGAAGCTTCTGCGTTCTAAGTCTGCGTGAATTGCTTGCTCTATGTAGGATCTTGGGATATTCTTAAGTGTAACTTTAATTGAATAGGCTGAGGAAATTTGGTACGTATGAAAACTAACCTGTGCTTTCTGGAATTTATGAACTGTAGCTTTATAATCGGCTTCGCTGGTAGTGTAAAGGAAAATCTGTCTGGCTTTGATTGTAACTTCAAATTCGTTTTTACATATTTCTCTGAGCATTTTGTCTATTTCAGGCCAATCAACATCGTTTTCTGGAATGACTAATGGGGGAACATTCGTTTTATTTTCTACTTTATTCTGTCTTATAGTCGTCTGCGTTTCATCTGTAACTTCCATAGCTTCGTTATTTTCGTTAAGAGCTTCAAATCTGTTATTTTGCGGAATATCTGGTGGTGGGATAGACTCGGAACTTTTTGTTGTTTTCTTTGGAGTTGGCCAATCCTTCTGAATTATTGTTTTATCATCTGTTTTAGAATTTGCGAGCTTCGGGGTTGTTATGAATGCTTGCTAAAATGAACTGATTTCGTTCGATTTCATCTTGTAACTTTGAACGCATTTGATCGCTGGTAAGGAGGTTAATGTCTTCATAGACTCAATACAGTTTAATTTATCGGCAATTTCGTTTTCTAATTTGAGTGAGAGATCTTTTGGGTTAATCGGAAGCTGAGTATTAAGATATTCTTGCGAGATAGCTTCTGTTAAATTAGGAAAAACTTTTCTATGTTTGTTAACTACTGCTTCAAAATTTGAAGGAGAGGGTTTGAATTTTTTAGTAATTATCGGCTGTTTTCTTAGGACTTCCTACGGTTTTCTTTTCTTTTCTCTGGATTTTACTTTTCTCAGTAGAAATTAGAGTAGCAATTATACTTTGAAGCGCCGAGTCATCTGAAGCAATTACAGGCATCTCTTTAGATGTAGTCAATTTTCTTGAATAATTCGAATATGTACCATCATTATCGCTGTCATAATCGCTGAAAGTAGCATGCCAAGGAATTTTGCCCCTATCAGGCGGTTCGCTATTACTGGCCATATCGCGCAGAACAAGCAAAAATGATATTTACCAAAAATCAAGAAGAGCAGTAGTCGTCGGAAGAGAGAAACTACCTCATGATGATTCACATTTTTACTCAGAATTTTCATTTTTTAAACTCAGAATGCATCATGATAATTTTTTAACTCAGAATGCGTCCCATCATTTTTTAACTCAGAATCCATATTATAACTAAGAATGCAGAAAATTTATATCATCTTAAGAATTATCTAATCGTTGCCACATGTTCTATTCAAATACTATAATAAATCTAAAATGAAGTATAAAAGAAATTAAGCAAAAAAAAAAAAAAAAAAAAAAAAAAAAAAAACAGTTTTTCACAGACGATTCAGTATTTCTCATTCAATTAATTCAGTTCTCACTTCGCGACAAGACAAAAATATATTAAAACTCAAGATGTATGTACTGAAAATTATAAAGTAAATCTTAAACACTTATTTCCTCGAATAAATTCCAGAATGGATTAAGTATGATTTAATCCACAATAATAAAAGAAGGCGTTATCTTTGTTATTGCGAAGCTTACTTTCTCTAGATTAGCAACAAATCTACTATTCTGCTGTTTCAAATGCAAACAAGCAATGGCCTCCATGAAAAAAATTATTAGGCTTAGCGGTCCTTAAACAACCTTTAAATTGGTAGTAATTCTAAACATATTGCATACAGATTTACTAAAGGCATAAAAAACCTTAACCGGAAGATAGGAACAACATAATTCAATCATATTTAAAGCAAAACATGCACAATTTACAAACATATAAGAATAAAAAAACTGAGATCACTGAGACAAGTAACAGAGTGGATACATATATACACATATTTATATACTTTTGGTGCGGTCGATTGTGACCAAAATACGAGGTACACATCTACATGTTACAGCAATCCTATATACAAAATTTCAACGTTCTGAGGCTACTCATTTTTGAGTTATGCAAGATACATACGTACGTACTCACAGACGCCACGAAAAATTGTCTTTAGAATTCATTTTAAATTAGTTTTAATTTTTTTGGGGGGGAAGTCCCTTATCCTGTCCTTACGTACAGATGTCACGCAAAAACATCGTTGAATTGCATTCGATAGCGGTCAAAATGGATATTTTCGTTGAAATATGCTGCCTGAAACTTTTCGTGATTGCAATACATCCTTTTTACTTCGTACAAGGAAGTAAAAAGAAATCTTCTGGCTACATTAATTTCGCACTCTTACAATTACCGAAATAAAGCTTTAAGTTTCCCACAAGGAAACATACAGCCAGAAATCACAACCAAACAAATTCCCGCTAAATAAAAATCTCTCGCCAAGTTTGGCGCTCACTTTGATTATGAAATATTAACCGAATATTCTTACCTCTACATATCATGTTTTTGAATTAAATAAAACATTTTATTTGAAAAGCAACAAAAAAGCTTACGCATTCAAAAACTGAAAAATGAATAGATAATTAATGCTACAAATAGCAGTTACAGAATTTTGAACTCGTCAAATTAACTATTAAAGTTCGTTATTTAATTAATCTCTTTTATAAACTTAGAGTAATGTCTTTTATAAAGTTGGATTGGTAGGACAACCGTGCATTTAAAACTTTTAAAGTCTGAAAATATATGTCTGCTGCATTATCATTATACGGTGACTTGTAGATGCCTTATGTTTTACGACAATGTTTTAAAACTGCGAAATTTCTGAACCGCTTTTTCTACCGACATTTTGGCAACTGCGATGTTTTCTTCGTGTGATGCTTTTTTCTTTCTCTTGATGTATGACGTTTTTCTTTTTGCGTTGTTATGTTTATCTCTGTAACCGTATAATTAATTATACAACTGTAATCTGAAGTGTCCTTTATAATGTTAATGATCGAGCACTAAAAATCATTGATCCGTTTTAGTGTTTTTCATTAAAAACCATTGATCTGTTTCATTGAAAATCAGTCATCTATCTGCTTTTCATTAAAAAACTTTGGTTTTTCTTTTCTTGCATTAAAATCATCGATCCGTTTTGCTCAATGATCTGAATCATTGAGCCCACTCTCAAGTGAATTCTAAGGTTAAAATAAACAGAAACTTTCTTAATTTTTATCAAGAAAATTTCTTTAAAACATATATCTCCTTTCATAGTGGCAGAACCAGTAGTAGAGTAAGTCATTTTAATTATTTCCTATAAACGTATCATTTAAGAGAGATGCCTGCCTGAACTTTTAACTGAGCTGTTTAATAAGACGTTTTTCGGTCCGTGACAAAGAAAAACTGTCACAAACTTTCACTTTTATTTTTATTTTTATTTTTTTAAGTTCCAAGGCGCAGACTTTAAAAAATGTTATTACTAATAAGATACTTTAATGAATTTTATGTTTTTGCTGTAAAATGAAACACTGTTTGCTCAAAGTTCCTTTCTATCTCCTTGTAAAAAAAAGAAAAGTGCACTTTCTTTCTTCAAACTAAATAAAGACTCGTTTCTCTTTCTGTCTGAAACCTAGCTTCATTAAGCAGCACATTTTTCCAGAGAAAATTGTATTCGACAAAATAATCAAGATGTATTCACAATAGTTTAAATCATTGTTTTTGCTAACTTGAGAACTTTAATGAAATTCTAAAGATAATTTGATAAAATTTTATTTCGAAACAATTTTTTTTTTAAATTTCTTCTATGAAGTAATAATCATGAGATATGCATAAATTAAACCCAGAAAGAACTTTGTGATGTTTAATATTTTGTGTAGCGATGTTTAATATGTTTAATGGTCATTTTGTATATTCAATAAATTAAGTTGTACGTTTATTAATAAGAAATTTAACGAATGTGTATAAAAAATGCGTTAATTTTTAATTACTTCATCTTGCTGGTAAGTATAAAGAATTTCTTTTTAATATTTTCCCATTATTTCTAATTTAATCTAAATATGTAGTTTTCTAGTGTTGCTAAAGAATGGTTGATTTTGTTAAAAGATGGCATATTGGCTAGTGACACCAACTCACACTAACTATTTGTACTATTTGCAAATTGCATATCGTATCGATATGATAATAACAAATACAAATTGTCTGATTAGAATTTCAATCCTTCATACGAATATGTAAATACTATTTATCATCTTTAGGCTTTACAAGAAGGAAATAAGTCATTTATGCAAGTCAATAAGTTGGGTAGGCTACCATGTAATCTATGTTGTAGAAAAGTGTTATTAAGAAAATAATGCATTATCAGTCTTTTGTTGGATACATTTTGTTCTATGTATTCTATTTAGTGACGTCATGCATCTCTGTCCCTCCTGCAGTGTCCATGGGCCGCAGTCGCAGCACCCCTGGTCTCGTAGAATCACGTGGTAAAGTGCCTCTGGAAGACATGTCTGTTCCTGAAGACGACAACCAGCCCATGACGACCAGCTCGATGGGAGATCCTGACAGTTCTGGCAGTTGTGGGGCTCGAGGAACTCTACGTCAACAGTTCCAAGCCACTAACTTCCTTTCACCATCTGTCACATACACTGTGCAAGGGGCTTCGAGTATCCAATCCTGTGCCTCGGATTCTACAAATGCGGATCCTCAGAGACCCCCATCCCAATCGAACATGTTGTCCATCATGCCGTCCTCCCCTTATCGTACGCGGTCACCGATGCAAGGCATCCCGGATTATTCTTCGAATCTTGACCACCAGGAGAGATACCCACCTCCTCCATCTTTGCCTTACGCTATCGGACCACCATACCCAGGAAGAGAGATCTTGCTGGCAGAAGTCAAGAGGCTCAGGGAAAGACTGGTTAGCCTGGAAGCCGACAACGCCACTATGAGTCTAAAACTTAGCCAACAGCAGTGGGACGTGGAAAGCAGACTGGCCGAAATAGAGCTCCAATTGTGTACCGCGACAGGCACAACGACGTCTCCGACTATACCTAGCCCTGATGATAACAACCAAGAATCTATCATCTGATTTCTTATGTGGAATCTATTCTACATTATGAATTCCAGTTTGACTATGAGTAACACGGGATTCAGAGAAAAAATCGTTCGTGATAGTGCCACATGACAGATGAAATGTGGAACGTTTTATAGTCATTACAGGGACGTAGTTAATTAAAAGAACTAGTAAATCTTAGAGAATTTTGAGTGCAAATATTTGCTCAACCACTCGTTCATATTCTCATGTTGTTTATGGGATTCAAATCACGTTTATCTCATTACTGCAAAGCAATTTATTTTTAAAACTATACCAATTTATAGAAGCACATCGCAGCCCATTATTCAAAGCCCTTTTATGTTTTTCCACAGTTTTTAGGCTTTTCAAAACACATGCTTCTTATGTTAAACAAAAAATGCAAAGAAAGACGCATTTAGGTAATACAGAAATGATTAGATGAAAAGAAGCGCATAGTTACCATCACATATATGCATAAATTAACTCAATGTGATTAAAAACCTAAAGCGTTTTTAATAATATATTTACGGTTTAAGATGAATTTTTATTAGGTTTAGCTCCGTACTGCAATTTAAATTTCGTGTTAATGCAGTAAAGGTAGTAATTTACAAACAGCAAAGTGATATGTCCATATCCTTCCAAGCAATATTCTACTGATAAAAAGGCAGATGAACATATAACCTGTTTTATAACCTGAACTTTTAGATCCCTGTTTTCATTCAATGTTTCTAAGGTTTTTGTTTTATAGCAACTCATCATCTACGTCAGTGTTCGTGATGTTGTCTCATAATTATTTTCATACATTTAAAATCCATTCCTAGTTTCCTATACGTATTGCTGTTCATTAAAAAAGAAGTAATTTCTTATTTCTCCTTAAGAATTTCAGCAAAATTTACCAAACACCATTCAGCATATCTCTCCAATTTAAGAGAGTTTATGTTTAAAAAATGGTTTTATTCCAACATCAATTTGAATAAATTATATTATAAAATATTAATATATTACTTCAACTGATGATGAAATCATCTGTTTCCGCCGATATTAGTGCAATAAAGTTCAATTATATATATATATATATATATATATATATAATGCAAATCAATAAAAACTTAATTAAATCATTTGGACTGATAAAAACACAAAATTAGTTTGATTACTTCTATGATATTATTTTAAATATTAAACTCTAATTTTTAATTTGTGAAATTTTTAGCTTAGAAGTAAGCTGATATATTTACTTCTTCCTTTGCATCTTAATCATTACATACGGTTTGTTCCGAAATAAATATGGGATAGATTTTAAACATATTAATTTAATTTATTTTACATTATTCGCTCTACTTGTTGCTGCTATCAGCACACAACTGAATTAAGATTTGAATTCCTTTTCTTTTTATTTTTTTCACAGCTATGCGGTAATAATTAAATCAAAAACTAAATCAAGAAAGGGGTTAACAATCTAATCTGAAGAAAACATATTACAATTGAAACAAAAAACAGTTAAAAAAACTGCATGATAAAATTAATATAAAAAGCTGTTGAGATTTCTTGTTCTTTATCAAGGAGCAGCCGAAGGGTTTTCAGCATATCTTCGTTTCTGAATTATATCTATATGAATGCGAATTCCTGAAATAATTCAAAAGAAATAATTAAAGGGAAATGCTAAATAAATATTAACTTAATTAAAATTATTAAAATCCTTGATAAGCAAATTAAAGTAAAAATTTTGAAACCTTTTTTAATTTTAATTAATCATCAAAATATGATCTGATCCGATGTGACATCAAAACAAAAATTACTGCAAAAATAAACGCTAAAAAAGAATCTTCGCTTAAGAAACCACCAGAATAGGTATTGGGAATAACCAGAATAACTGTAAGCCATATATACATATGTTAGATGGCATATATTGTTGAACTGGATCTCGTGCACAAGTAATATTCTGACTTTCTACCGTATGAACTTTTGCACTTTATTAAAAGACGCTGGGAGAGTAGGCAGATGGGTATTATCCCTACATAATTATGATTTCACCATTATACATATTATTATTATTATTATTATTATTATTTACGTGTTATGCCCTAAAGCACTACACGGAGGGAAGGGATGTCTTCGTGGAGGACTTTCTAAGGGAAACGGTCTCGTACTAACGCGTTACACATGGGAAAACCACGAAAACGGCCGTACAGACTGCCCGTTCGCAGGATTCGAACCTCGAACCGAATTACCAGTGTTCAGGAGCTTTAACCCTCGGCCACTGGTGGCCCCCATTATACATATTCCAGAGGACAGTAATGCGCCTGCTGACATGCAATCACATAATGTAAAAGTTGCTGAAATAACACAGAGAAATGCGTAAGGGAGTTGTTTGGTACCTGTACAGTACAAATAATACAGGAAGTAGATATTAAATGCATAACATTTTAAATTAGCTTGTGACAAACCTGATATTAATTAATATCAATAACATAATAATGTTTAAGAAGAATAATCATTTATATTGTAACCTACATTCTTCTGCAACAATATATCTTGTTATATTAAGAAATTATGCTTATTAGTGAATACTTTTTATTGAAATATTTTCTCGTGCCCGCTATGGGTTCAAAAAAACACCGATAAGAATGAAGTAAAACTTGATTTATATAAAAGCACCCAAAAATGTTCCGAATGATTGCAAATTACAATTAATTAATTATTTCTTAATTATTATATCAGTAATTTAATTGCAGTTATTAAATTCGATCAATAATCGCAATTAAATTACCGATACAATAACCGTAGTTAAATTACTGCAGTAACCTAGATTCGAATCTTGGTAATAGCACTATATTCAATTGTGTCGTTAATTTAAATAAGAAAGAAAGCATATGCGCCACACAACATACTCAAACAAAAACTGTATAAATTTTCTCTGTTTTATTTTTACAGCTATTAACTTCAAAATCCGTAAAAAACAACAGGACAACCTATAATATAGTGATATGGCTCAGTACAAAACCCAAGAACATGTAACTGCAAAAACAGAGATAACAAAATAATACAGGAAGTAGATATTAAATGCATAACATTTTAAATTAGCTTGTGACAAACCTGATATTAATTCATATCAAACAGAGATAACAAAATAATACAGGAAGTAGATATTAAAGCATAACATTTTAAATTAGCTTGTGACAAACCTGATATTAATTCATATCAAACAGAGATAACAAAATAATAACAGGAAGTAGATATTAAAGCTATTTGAACAATTATAAATTTGATTCATATACTATTTTTAGAAAGAATGGTATAGATACAATAAAAAAGCTATTAAAAATAATAATGAAACATTATTAAAACAAAAAAAAACTTACATTTATAAAAGTGATCAAATATTCAATAAAAAGAAATATCCAAAAATACAGGGGTGGAACTCCTTTGATTATCGAGAATAATTTTTTAGAATAAACTGCATCTATACCTCGCATAAAAATCTCTTTCTTTGTTTTTCAAACAATTTTAGTCACAAGACTTATAGCTTGAAATGTTGTTATTAATATGTTTTTGTTGTCAATAATATTTTGAAATTTTTAGAAACATTACATTGATGCTGGAATATAACTGTTTTGTAGACATAACGGATTCATTTGAAATTTCAAACTAAAGATTATTTTAGCATCAAAGCTCAATATCACTCCCGTATAGAAATTGAACACAGTTGTAAGAATTCTCGTTTTTAAAGTATTATTTACAATTTTATAACTGTATATGAAATCCAAATTTAATGTTTATAACAACTCTCAACTGTAGTTATAAACATTAGGTTTATGCAACTCTGTAGTAATTAATAGAGAGAGAACATCCAACCTAATGCCTAAAATACAGAGTTATCTCAACATGTTGAAGAGTGATATGACTACGATGTAGATATTCCCTCAATATCTACATCGTAGTCACAAAAACATTTTCTCGATATATAAACCCCTAATGGCCTACACGCTCAACCAATCGAAATGAAATTTCGGACATAGTTATTTGAAGATATGCCTTCGAAATTGCGATCATTTAAAATAATAGAGCTCTCAGGGTTACGGTTACTGCGAAAACATTTCGAAATTTTCGGAGTTTTTTCTCTGCGCAAACTGATCAGCGCTCTTAGAAGTCCTAATCGGCATTGGAACAATACAGGTGTGAGGAAACATTTGCAAAGAAAAACATTGTACCCGTTGAAAACTTGTAGATCCAATAAAAAAAATTTCCCTCCTTTTTGTGATGTCATTGATCTAACTATGGTCTTCTCATATGTTTTACACCGGCAATTTTCGTCATATATATATGGGTTCAGAGGTGTTTATGGTTTTCCATTGAGCTGATCATCTTGAACAAGAAACGTGAATGTAGCCATTCGAAAATTTCGAAATATTTTGTCTGTAACCGTAACCGTGACAGCTGTATTGTTTTAAATCATCACAATCTCGATTATTTGAGCCGATAAGCCGCTAGGAGTAAACTCCTACACCGAACTTTTTTTTTTTTTTTTTTTTTTTTTATCCCACCCCGTACTTAACTCTTAACACTAAACCGAATACAAATTGCATTAAAAAAGCACTTTATAAGTCACTCCTGGTGGTTTACGATTGAAAGTAACAGCATATCAAAACGACTAATGTTCTTATTCAAGCTAAACATCTGGTCGGTCTACATTGCAGCTAAAATTTTAATGGCACATTAACCAATAGCACTGCTACTGATCTACTTTAATTCTTCTATAAATGTTGCCGGAATAAGTGTGCTTTCGTTTCGAAAGTCCACAATTAAGCGTAAATTATGCCATATGCCTGTAAATTTTTAGAACTATCTGGTTTGCATGAATATTGTGACATGAATCAAGTATGAGAAGACAGGGCGTAATTTAACTGTCCGTAAAACTTAAGAACAATTATCACAAATGTATAGAAAATTTTAATTTTTCGGCATGCGTTCAGGCTTTTTCGTTTAATTACATTCATTACAGGCAGACGCCAGTTTTTATGGTTATCATAATTCTTTAAACGCACTATGAAGTAAGAACATATCGCTTTTCTCATATCACAAAAATTTTCAAATTTTCGCTGACAACGATATTCAAACTTTTTATGGGAAGGAAAACAGTTTCTTATA